TATAATATTAATTTTTTATATAAACAAAAAATTTAAAGTAATTGATAATGAGTATAGAATTATCCTTGCGGATTCAAGTTATTTTAACGATGTTCTTTTTATATATCTAAGATTTAAATTTTTTTCTGATTTATATGAATGTAAGCACATTTGACTAATTTTTATAAAATTTATTGAAAAAAGTTACTATTTTTTTGAAAAACTGATAAGATATTAAGATAATACTGTACTTAACATAAATGTGGGATTAATTAAAATAAATCTTTTTAATTTAGTCATTAACTAATTAAATTTAACTATAAAAAACCTTCTTAAATGTGAGATTAATGAGTAATTAATTAAAAAAATGTAACTTTTTTTGGAGGGAAAGTAAAAATATTTTTATTAAATGTTTTATTAAATGGGATTAGCTAGCAATTATATATATATAGATTATATTCCAATAACCCTTTCTCCACCAAACCCATCTAAACGGACAAGCCAACGAAATCTAACGTCCGTTAATAATATACAACGGCGTAAGCTTTTGATTCGACTGAAGAAAAAAAGAATGTCGAGATTTTGGAAACCTGGAACAGAGAAACCTCAGCTCGTGGAGGATGAAGAAGGCGGCGTTCTGTTCTTCTCCGCCTCTCCTTCTTCTTCCGGGTGAGGATAGTCTTTCCTTCTATTTTCTTTTTCATTTTTCCTCATATTTTACTGAATTTGTGCCAAATATAGGTATGGGCACGCGAACCTCGAGAAGCAGAGGCAGAGGCTGCCGGTTTACAAGTACAGAACCGCCATTCTTTACTTGGTCGAGACACGCGCCACCACAATCGTCGTCGGAGAAACTGGAAGTGGGAAAACTACCCAAATTCCTCAGGTCTCCACCTTCATTACTTTGTACAGACATGAATCTCTTGAAAATATATGAAGTTTTCAAACAGCTTACTGGGTGTGTAGTACTCCAAATATTTTTCTTGTCGTTGTGCGTAAGCTCTTGAATCGCCATTCTTATAGGTGTACATTTTTTTATTCGAGTGAGCTGAGTGGTCTTTTTTGGAGGAGTAATTGTCTATTTTTCCCTCCTAAGTCCCAATTGGGTTTAATTCTTTAATTTATCCATAGTTGGATAATAATTTTTCGTTTTATTGGGATTTTCTGGGTTTTGATGAACTCGGTTTGCAGTATTTGAAAGAAGCTGGATGGGCAGAGGGTGGACGAATGATAGCATGTACACAACCAAGGCGTTTGGCTGTGCAGGTATCATAATGGCTTTGTTTGTTCTACACAAGACCAATTGTTAGATGACTCATGAGAAAGGAAAAAGAAAATTCAGAAATTTATTTAGATGACTCTAATGAAGCAAAATAATAGTAAAATGAATTGGAATCCAGGATACCCAATTATTTTCATCCATAGAGTCTTGTTATCCTAGAAATATGCTTGTTTGGTACACTTTTAGATGTGAGTTGATGCGTACCTGGGATTATGCTCATATATAGTTTCCTTCGCACTATTCTATATATCGATGGCCAGAATAAAATACCGCTTTCTATTTTTCTTGTTCTATGATTATGTAGTAGACCTAGATACCTTTGTTTTATAAGTTAATATATGCAACCGCTGTGTTGTTTGGTGGCAGTATTGGTAAATTCTGTTCATTGAGTATGATATACTATCATAGGGCCTAAACAAGCATATGGTATCAATGGGAGAATTTTCTAGTTTCCAGTGTTCCATTTGTGACTATTTCTTATTGTGGAACTTATCTGCACCTTTATTTTCCATTTTCCATCTAGATACAAGATTTCATCCAAGTTTCAGTTGCTACCATGAACTTTTACCTAATAGTTGCCCTGTTTGGCACTGAAGACATTCTGTAAGTCTGCTGCATGAACTCCACAAAGTTAATAGTTTATTTGCCATTCAGACAGTTGCTTCAAGGATTTCAGAAGAGATGGGTGTCAAACTAGGTGATGAAGTTGGTTACACAATTCGGTTTGAAGATGTTACAAATAACGTGAGTATCTAAAGCTTCTCATCTTTGTCAGTGTATTTCATGCATGGTTTAATGATGCCATCATTTATTTATTTTAATTCACTAGTTGCTTATAGTGTTTTTCTTTCTTTCTTTCTTTTATGTATCTTCATCTTTTGTTTTCTTTTTTTTTTTTTATTATTATTTTGAAATGCTGTCGTGGCTTCATTTTACCAGCCAAGACCAAACTTACTTTCTGCATATTGATAAACACTAATCACTAATGATCATAATCCTTTTTGGAAGTAGGAACTTACAAGGATAAAGTTTCTCACTGATGGAGTGTTGCTGAGGGAAATGATGGATGATCCTCTACTAAGCAAGTACAGATAGGTCTATGCACTCCTAAAATTTATTGTTCTTGGAGAATTATGAACTTCCTGGAAAAATTGCCTGTTGAGGCCAAAAAATAAAGCTGTGTGCAAAGCAGTCATTTCGTGATCAATTCTTACTGATAGGTTGATCTCTCTTAAATCTCATACTGCGTGTTTCTTTAAGGTGCTTCTTTTTTAATGCCTTTTTATTCTTATTTAAATAACTATTTCTCACTTTTCGTCCTTTCAGTGTGATCATGGTGGATGAGGCTCATGAAAGGTCTCTATCAACCAATATTTTTTTGGGTCTCTTGAAGAAGGTACTTTCTTGTATGTGTCCGATTTCTTTAGAAAACACATGTTTATTTCTCTATTATTATGTATCTCTTTCATTGAGCTAATACTTATTAAAACAGATACAACGGCGCCGACCTGAGCTCTGTCTTGTCATATCATCAGCTACAATTGAAGCAAAATCAATGGCTTCCTTTTTTAATAACAGGTTTCTTCGTGAAATCTTACCTAATATCATTTTTAGTAATTTGCATTGACTTTCGATGATATCAACATTGCTTGTTTTTTATTAACTTCTACAAAACCCATACTTGTTTACTGAGAAATATGAAATGTCGAAATAAATTTGTCATTTCCAATCTAGCTCGTCCCTGTGTCTTGAGTAAAATTATCCCAGTAAAACTCTCTGTTTTCAGCAACAGTGTTTGCCTAAAGTAGTGTCTTTCTTTCTGAAAAATTGCTTCTTGGAAAGAAAGAAAAAGAAAAAAAGGTGAAAAAAAAGAAATTGAAAAATTAACCAAACGCACTATAATTGGCAGTTTCTCGGTGTATAAAAGACATATCCCTGACCTCTTTTTTTCATTTGTTTTATGCAACGCTGGACGAAGTTCTTCGCTACTAATTTGATTGCCTTAATTGATAGTCCTAATTGGCACTTTAATCTATGCTTTCAATGATTTCCCACCATGTCATCTTGTGTTTTCAACTTAAGTTATAAAAGACATATCCCTTTAATCCTAGTTTTTTATTCACAATAAGAATTTCGATTCTTTTTTAATTTTTGTTGGACAATTAGTTTTTTATGAAACACTCGTGAACTTCACGGGCATTGTTCCAGTACATACATATTATTCATGCATATTTTGTCGGTAATACATATTATTCATGCATATAATTACTAATAATACATATTATTCACAGGTAATATTTTAACTAGTACAAATCTCGTGCGATGTACGGGTAAGAAATAGTTATTAATATTTATAAATTATAAATTTTCATTAAATAATATTTATAAATTAGAAATATGGAATCAATATATAATACAATTTACCTATATTAATTTTTTGAAAATGTTATATGAAATTTAAATTGTGCAAAATTATATAAAACATGTCTACCTAAAATTAATACACGATCCTTACTGTTAAAAAATGAAGCCTAATTTCGATATAATTACATTTCTAAGAGCATCTACAATGCTCAAATGTTGTTGTGGTAAATTACATTCCACATCAACATATTTAGCAATGTCACAACTTTCATCTTTCAATGAACAATGTGATCACAAATGTTGTGATCTCGTGGACATAATTAATGTCTAGAAGAATGTGGTTCATCTACATTCTCCTCCACCCTCTAACTAGCCAATGAAGAGAAAATAGAGAATTACTCTTACTAATTCTAAACTATTTAATTAATATTCGTACTCCATATTATAAAATATTAATATTTGGTAAGTAGATAATATTATAGTTAACTACATTGTGTATTGAAGATAATTTTTTACTTACATAGTTGTAAACTTAGCAACTTTTCTACATGGTTCACAATCCATTTAATTTATTGACATTTGTCAAAATTTATTTTATAACAACATCAGAGCTCACACATTTTCATCTTATTTTAATTTTGAAAATATCCCACCGAGTCTTTATATATATACAACTTACACAACACATACACATATACACACACACACATATATATATATATATATATATATAATTTTTTTAAATTATTATTTGATATGATAAATTCTAAAATTTGAATAGAATACTTACACAACACATACACACACACACATATATATATATAATTTTTTTTAATTATTATTTAATATGATAAATTCTAAAATTTGAATAGAATGCATATATGGCAAGAATATTCATTTTAAATTTTTTTGTATTTTTTAAATTAATTATATCAATAATAATATTTAATGTACATTAAATATTATATAGAAAAAGAATAATACTTTTATAAGTGTTATAATTCATAATTATGACATTATATGACAATACATTTTTGAATAAAATAATATTTGAGTATTATTATGACAAAAAATAAGTATTTTTTTTACGAACACCTAAATATATGTGTTAAAAAATTATTTACATTAATATAAACGAGTCAACGGACTAATATATTGTTAAAATAAAATTTTTAATAATAGTTTTAAGGTACAAACTCTTTCGTACATCGCACGGGATGCTTACTAGTTTTAGTTGAGAGAGATTATATTTAATGCTTAACTGATAGAAATAAGGAAAAATTAAAAGACCTATTTTACTCTTGCTCATGTGTAAAAAACCAACTTGCTATAAATGGAAAGTATATCATGGGATCCACCATAAAGACTTATATCTATATCTATATAAAAATGTTTGATTATTTTTTAAATAGTAACTATTTCTCTCCAAAAAAAATTTATTTACTATTTCGAGAAATTAATTGAACAATTTATGGTATATTTCAAATAATCATTTATGGAAATTGCGACTCATTATTTAAGAAAATAATTAAGCCATAACAAAATATATTTTTAAGATACCTTAATTACTCAAATCATGTGACTTTGGTTGATTTACCCAAATATGGGAATTTTAGCTGCAATATCAATTATGTGATTTGATAAAAAGTTTCCAACCAAATTGTGTAATTTATTATTTAATAAGTGTTTTATCTTTTTCGTATAAATTTTTTTGTGATATGCATTTTTAATATACCTTATTATGAAAATGGTGTAAATCCAATTGATTATTCAATTGGTAAATAATTATTACAATTATGGAAATATCAACAGCAACATCAATTATGCGATTTGCAAAAAACTATTTTTATAATTTATGTTAATGACATTTTTTATTTAATATTATTTAATAAATTTTATTCATTTTTTGTATATTTAATTACTCAAATCGTGGATAATTAAGGAAATAACCAGACCATAAAAATTTGCATTTTTAAGATACCCTAATTACGCAAATTGTGTAAATTCAGTTGATTTATTCAATTATATATTTTTTTAAATTTAATGAAAGTTTCTATTTAATTATCTTTTAATAACTGTTTTTTGGATCTTTTTTATATTTTAGCTATAAAAAACATGGGTCTCGATTTGTTTATACATTGTGCAATTAATTTCATGGTAAAACTGAATATCATTTATATTTTATCGATAAAGTATGAAATCGAATTATTTGGTATACTATATATTGATCCAATATACCCCGCTTATGGTAAAAAATGGTATCTCAATATTATTTTTTTTATATTGCTAAGCATTATACTTGATATTTATGAAAGAAAAATCTGGATAATACTATGGTCGATACTTCATTATAAATGTGCGTAGAACATTTCAAATTATTTCAAATTATTCTTTGTATTTACTTGAATCACGTTGTAGTTAAATCGAATTTTTGAATAAAAAATTTAAAATGACACCTATTTTGAAATGAATGTAATGTAATTTATTATCTGTTACTTGCACCGTACGGGTCGTGTAGTAATTTTAAATAGATATGTTTTATTTAATTTTGCAAAATTTAAATTTCATATAACATTTTCAACAAATTAATATAGGTAAATTATATTACATATTGATTTTATATTTTTAATTTATAAATATTATTTAATGATCCATTTTCAATTTATAAATATTAGTGAATATTTCTTCTCCGCGCGTCGCACGGGATTCATACTAGTTTGTATGTATAGCATAATTAATTAATTATATATAGTAAGAAGATAAATTAGTTAGCTGTCTTTTCAAAAGGATTCATAAGCATGCGGCAAAATTCTAAATTAAGATTACTGCCACAACAAAAATGACTTCCAACAAGAATTGGAAAATATGACTCAAGTTGATTGTGAATTGGTAGTGTAGTACTAAACGGAAACTGACCTCATGTGTTGCAACAAATTTAATGTTTCCCAACAATGAAATTGATTGAGATCATTTTCTAGTTGTGCTTCCAAAACCAATGTTAGAGGTACTATGAAAAATTACCTCGCATGTCAAATTTATAGCTCTACTATTATACAAAATTGTAAATTCCTCATAACTTGGCATTTTTTGTATTTAAGTATGCAACAGTAATTATCGTCACTTTCACCTCAGTAAGTTGTGTGGGCAAATTTCTAAAAAAACATACTCTATGAGGATGTTTTTGAGAACTTGAGCTCTTTAAAACATCTTTTAAGATTTTTATAATCTCATAAAATTTGATTGGTAAAACTTCTTAAAAAGAGCCTTAAGATGCAAAAATAAGCTCCTGCAAAGCAAGTACCTACCCCCTTACTTTTTTCCAACATTTTATAACTTCCTATTGAAAAAAAGTTGAATACTTTTTATAAGAACTACATTATCCTGTTTATATTATGCAATCAGTATAGTGGTGAAGTTGAATACTTTTATAATATTCATTTTACTAATGACTAAATTTTTAAAATGTGATAATATTATCTAACTTATAATTTTATATTATATACATACATATACTTTATAATAATTTAAATATTTGTGCATGAGTACATGATTGAATACAAGTTATTATAAGGGAGGAGGAAATAAGTGTGAATGCATTTAATACAAGATAAAATAAAGTTCAGCATCATATATTATACTACTAAGTAACTCATGCGATGCACAAACTGTATTTTTTTCAGGATATATTATAAATTAAGTGTATTAATAAATTAAAGAGTGAAATATTATAAAGTGATATGTATTAATAAATAAAATAGTGTAACACGTAGGGAAAGTGTCAAATCACAAACATGTCCCTCGTCCAAAAAGAATATATTATTAAAAACATCATTGTACTCAACAATATCCCTCCCTATATATGAATTTGCAATGTCATGGTAGAAATCTAAATTTTTGAGTGAATAAGATTTGCAACATTTTATAACTTCCTATTGGAAAAAAGTAAGGGGGTAGGTACTTTGCAGGAGCTTATTTTTGCATCTGAAGGCTCTTTTTAAGAAGTTTTACCAATCAAATTTTATGAGATTATAAAAATCTTAAAAGATGTTTTAAAGTGGTCAAGTTCTCAAAAACATCCTCATGTATGTTTTTTTTTTAAAATTTGCTCGCACAACTTGCTGAGGTGAAAGTGACGATAATTACTGTTACACTGCTTAAACACAAAAAATGCCAATGAGGAATTTACAATTTTGTACAATAGTAGAGTTATAAATTTGACATTTGAGGTAATTTTTCATAGTACCTCTAACGTTTGGTTTTTGGAAGCACCACTAGAAAATGATCTCAATCAATTTTATTGTTGGGAAAAATTAAATTTGTTGCAACACATGAGGTCAGTATCAATTTAGTACTACACTACCAATTCACAATCAACTTAAGTCATATTTTCTTGTTGGGAGTCATTTTTGTTGTGGCAGTAATCTTAATTTAGAAATTTGCCGCATGCTTATGAATCCGCATGCCTATGAATCCTACAACTAACTAAGTTATCTTCTTACTATATATAATTAATTAATCTATACTTATATAATAAGAATTAACATTTATCCAAAATAGTAGGTCAAATTATGGTCAATGTCGAATTTGCATTAATATTTTCTAAAACTGGTAAGTTTTTGTCCTTTTCACATTTCTCATTAATTGTGTCTTTTTCACACTTCTCATTAATTATGTCATTTTCACACTTGTCATTAATTATGTGCTTTTTACACTTCTCATTAATTTTGTCATTTTCAAACATCTAATTAATTCATTAATTACGACATAATTATCATAAATCATTCTATTTGAGCTTTAATCGTTAAAATGTATAGCGATCTGTTATGACTTTATCCCATTGATATTTCCATGAAGCGTCCTTATCGCGTTCTATTTTTTGGTAACCACTCTATATCAATAACGGATATTTGGTTAATGATAGCACACGTCTTTATTTCAATGAGCGGATATTCTTTGACCTTTAATTAATCTGAACTGATTGCCTTGACTTTTCAATTTTTAAAAACTCTTTTTTTTAAATATTTTGGCTTAAGATTCGGATTTCATTATACAAGTCATCGGATTGTTTGACTGAAAATGAATGAAAAGAACACCAAAAACAGGTAGCTTTATTCATATAATCAATCCTAAAATATTAGTTTGTTCACCAAAAAGAGACAAATCCTAAAATATTAGTTTGTTCACCAATCCTAAAATATTGGTTTTTTAACCAAAAATATTAGTTTGATTTTTAGGATTTGTCTCTTTTGAAAATATTAGTTTGTGATAATAAGGAGTTACCAAATAATCAAACTCATAATATTGTGTACAAGGAGGTTTTTAATAATATATGATTGTTACCGAACTTTTTATGATTCAACAATGTTCCTATATATTTTAATGATTTCAATTTCGATTCTAATGCACGTGAGATTATATTATTCTTTCAAATGTTACATCCCGTGCATCGCACGGGTTACGTACTAGTTATGATATACATACAAACTAGTATGATTCTCGTGCGATGCACAAGAAATATTCAGTAATATTTATAAATTAAAAATATGAATCAATATGTAATACAATTTTTTATATTAATTTGTTGAAAATGTTATATGAAATTTAAATTTTTCAAAATTAAATAAAACATATGTATTTAAAATTAGTACACGACCCGTACGGTGCAAGTAACTGATAATAAATTACATTACATTCATTTCAAAATAGGTGTCATTTTAAATTTTTTATTCAAAAATTCGATTTGACTACAATGTGATTCAAGTAAATACAAAGAATAATTTGAAATGTTCTACGCACATTTACAAAGAAGTATCGACCATAGTATTATCTAGATTTTTTTTCATTAATATCAAGTATAATGCTTAGCAATATAAAAAAAAATAATATTGAGATACCATTTTTTAGCATAAGCGGGTATATTAGATAAATATATAGTATACCAAATAATTCGATTTCATACTTTATCGATAAAATATAAATGATATTCAATTTTACCATGAAATTAATTGCACACCGTATAAAACAAATCGAGACCCACGTTTTTTACAGCTAAAAAAAAAGATCCAAAAAAACAGTTATTAAAAGATAATTAACTAAAAACTTCCATTAAATTTAAAAAATATATAATTGAATAAATCAATCGAATTTACACTTGTGTAATTAAGGTATCTTAAAAATGCAAATTTTTATGGTCTGGTTATTTCCTTAACCAAATTTTTATGATCGCCCCTCCTGAGAGGAGGCACACCACTTCTCACAGGTCTAGGTCAAATACGTCTTAGTTTGGGGAAGGAATTTTCTGAGAAGAAGAAATTACAGTTATTAGTTTGTTGGTAGATAGCCATTCATAAAATTAATAAGATTATATTCCAATAACCCTTTCTCCACCAAACCCATCTAAACGGACAAGCCAACGAAATCTAACGTCCGTTAATAATATACAACGGCCTAAGCTTTTGATTCGACTGAAGAAAAAAAGAATGTCGAGATTTTGGAAACCTGGAACAGAGAAACTTAAGCTCGTGGAGGATGAAGAAGGCGGCGTTCTGTTCTTCTCCGCCTCTCCTTCTTCTTCCGGGTGAGGATAGTCTTTTATTCTATTTTCCTTTTCATTTTTTCTCGTATTGTACTGAATTTGTGCCAAATATAGGTATGGGCACGCGAACCTCGAGGCAGAGGCTGCCGCTTTACAAGTACAGAACCGCCATTCTTTACTTGGTCGAGACACGCGCCACCACAATCGTCATCGGAGAAACTGGAAGTGGGAAAACTACCCAAATTCCTCAGGTCTCCACCTGGATTACTTTGTACAGATATGAATCTCTTGAAAATATATGAAGTTTTCAAATAGCTTACTGGGTGTGTAGTACTCCAAATATTTTTCTTGTCGTTGTGCGTAAGCTCTTGAATCGCCATTCTTATGAGTGTACATTTTTTTATTTGAGTGAGCTGAGTGGTCTTTTTTGGAGGAGTAATTGTCTATTTTTCCCTCCTAAGTCCCAATTGGGTTTAATTCTTGAATTTATCCATAATTGGATAATAATTTTTCTTTTTATTGGGATTTTCTGGGTTTTGATGAACTCGGTTTGCAGTATTGAAAGAAGCTGGATGGGCAGAGGGTGGACGAATGATAGCATGTACACAACCAAGGCGTTTGGCTGTGCAGGTATCATAATGGCTTTGTTTGTTCTACACAAGACCAATTGTTAGATGACTCATGAGAAAGGAAAAAGAAAATTCAGAAATTTATTTATATGACTCTAATGAAGCAAAATAATAGTAAAATGAATTGGAATCCAGGATACCCAATTATTTTCATCCATAGAGTCTTGTTATCCTAGAAATATGCTTGTTTGGTACACTTTTAGATGTGAGTTGATGCGTACCTGGGATTATGCTCATATATAGTTTCCTTCGCACTATTCTATATATCGATGGCGAGAATAAAATATTGCTTTCTATTTTAGGGAGAGGATGCTAGGCGAGGGGCTTTGGGAAGGAGAAGATGCAGATGACATGTGGCTAAAGATGACAACATGTGTACGGAAGGTGGCTGCAGAAGTACTTGGTGTGAGTAGGGGAGGCAAGCAGGAAGCGAAGGACACTTGGTGGTGGAATGACGAGGTGCAAAGGGCTATTCAGGAGAAGGAGTGTTTCAAGCGTCTCCACCTTGACAAGAGTGCAAGCAACATTGAGAGCTATAAAATAGCGAGAAGGGCTGCAAAGCGTGCCGTGAGTGTAGCGACGGGTCAGGCCTATGTTGACCTTTATCTGCACCTAGGCACGAAGGAGGGGGAGGACATTTATAGGATGGCTAGGATTCGGGAGAGGAAGACAAGGGACATCAACCAAATAAAATGCATCAAGGATGGGTCGGATCGGCCGCTGGTGAAGGATGAGGAGATCAAGGACAAATGGCGAGAGTACTTGATAAATTGTTTAATGAGGAGAGTGAGGGGCCACCCTGGAGTTGGATGACGCATGTGAAGATACCAATAAACGCTTGGTAAGGAGAATTCGGGAGGCAGAGATCGGAGAGGCTATGAAGAGGATGAAGGGAGGTAAAGCAATGGGCGCTGATGGTATCCCCATTGAGGTGTGGAGATGCTTGGGCGCCAGAGTTTTAGTATGGCTAACTAAGCTTTTTAACCTCATTTTCCGGTCAAACAAGATGCCTGACGAATGGGGGAGAAGTACTTTAGGACCGATCTTCAAGAACAAGGGAGATGTTCAAAGCTGTGGTAACTACCATGGGATTAAGTTGATGAGCCATACGATGAAGCTCTGGGAGAGGGTTATCGAGCATCGCCTACGACGAGCGACGAGTGTGATCCAAAACCAATTTGGGTTTATGCCTGGAAGGTCGACCATGGAGGCAATTTTCCTAATACGACAGTTGACGGATAGATATAGGGACCAAAAGAAGGACTTGCACATGGTCTTTATCGACTTTGAGAAGGCTTATGACAGAGTACCGAGGAATGTCATGTGGTGGCCTTAGAAAAGCACAAAGTCCCATCTAAGTACATTACCCTCATCAAGGATATGTACAAGGATGCGATGACGTGTGTCCTATCATGTGGGAGCGATACCAGCGACTTTCCAATTAAAATAGGACTACACCAAGGGTTAGCATTGAGCCCGTATTTATTTGCCTTGGTGATGGATGAGGCCACAAGGGACATACAAGGTGATATCCCTTGGTGTATGCTCTTTGCTGATGATGTGGTGCTAGTTGACGAGAGTAGGGCATGGGTTAATAGGAAGTTAGAGCTGTGGAAGGACACGTTAGAGTCGAAAGACTTCAGACTTAGTAGGAGGAAGACCGAGTACATGAAGTGCGCTTTCAGCATGGCTACACATGATGATGGTGAAGTTAGCCTTGACGGGCAAGTGGTGGCCAAGAAGGAGACTTTCCGGTATTTAGGATCGATGCTACAAAAGGATGGCGACATTGATGTAGATGTCAAGCATAGAATTGCAACCGGTTGGTTGAAATGGCGCCAAGCCTCGAGCGTTCTTTGTGATAAGAGGGGGTCACAAAGGCTAAAAGGTAAGTTGTATAGGACGGCGATTCGCCCGGCGATGCTATACAGTGCTGAATGTTGGCCTACAGAAAGGCAACATGTCCAACAACTAAGTGTAGCAGAGATGCGTATGTTGCGTTGGTTTTGCGGGCACACAAGAAGGGGTAGAATCCGGAATGAGGATATTCGAGATAGGGTCGGGGTGGCTCCAATTGAGGAGAAAATGGTTCAAGATCGGTTGAGGTGGTTCGGACATGTCCAACGGAGGTCTCCTGATGCACCGGGGCGTGGGGGAGTTCTTCAGTGGGTCGATGATGTAAAGAGAGGTAGAGGTCGGCCTAAACTCACTTAGGAAGAGTCGGTTAAGAGAGACCTTAAAGATTGGAATATATCCAAAGATTTAGCGGTGGATAGGAGCGCTTGGAAGCTAGCAATCAACGTGCCAGAACCGTGACTTTTGCTCCTTCCTCTTTCGCTCCAATTTCTTCCTTTTGTTTTGTTTTGTTTTGCTTTGAGCCCCTTTTGGTGTTTCTCTTACCATTGGTTCTCTTGAGTTTCATCTCTAGCCTACCCCAATTTGCTTGGGACTAAAAGGCTATGTTGTTGTTGTTGTTGTTGTGTTATTTTTCTTGTTCTATGATTATGTAGTAGACCTAGATACCTTTGTTTTATAAGTTAATATATGCAACAGCTGTGTTGTTTGGTGGCAGTATTGGTAAATTCTGTTCATTGAGTATGATATACTATCATAGGGCCTAAACAAGCATATGGTATCAATGTGAGAATTTTCTAGTTTCCAGTGTTCCATTTGTGACTATTTCTTATTGTGGAACTTATCTACACCTTTATTTTCCATTTTCCATCTAGATACAAGATTTCATCTAAGTTTCAGTTGCTACCATGAACTTTTACCTAATAGTTGCCCTGTTTGGCACTGAAGACATTCTGTAAGTCTGTTGCATGAACTCCACAAAGTTAGCAGTTTATTTGGCATTCAGACAGTTGCTTCAAGGGTTTCAGAAGAGATGGGTGTCAAACTAGGTGATGAAGTTGGTTACACAATTCGGTTTGAAGATATTACAAATAACGTGAGTATCTAAAGCTTCTCATCTTTGTCAGTGTATTTCATGCATTGTTTAATGATGCCATCATTTATTTATTTTAATTAGTTGCTTATAGTGTTTTTCTTTCTTTCTTTCTTTCTTTATTTCTTTCTTTCTTACTTCATTTTATGTATCTTCATTTTTTTTCTTTTTTTTATTATTATTATTTTGAAATGCTGCCGTGGCTTCATTTTACAAGCTTACTTTCTGCATATTGATAAACACTAATCACTAATGATCATAATCCTTTTTGGAAGTAGGAACTTACAAGGATAAAGTTTCTCACTGATGGAGTGTTGCTGAGGGAAATGATGGATGATCCTCTACTAAGCAAGTACAGGTAGGTCTATGCACTTCTAAAATTTATTGTTCTTGGAGAATTATGAACTTCCTGGAAAAATTGCCTGTTGAGGCCAAAAAATAAAGCTGTGTGCAAAGCAGTCGTTTCGTGATCAATTCTTACTGGTTAATGATTGAGATTAGATAGGTTGATCTCTCTTAAATCTCATACTGCATGTTTCTTTAGTGCTTCTTTTTTAAATGCCTTTTATTCTTATTTAAATAACTATTTCTCACTTTTCGTCCTTTCAGTGTGATCATGGTGGATGAGGCTCATGAAAGGTCTCTGTCAACCGATATTTTGTTGGGTCTCTTGAAGAAGGTACTTTCTTGTATGTGTCTTGTCATATCATCAGCTACAATTGAAGCAAAATCAATGGCTTCTTTTTTTAATAACAGGTTTCTTCGTGAAATCTTAACTAATTTCATTTTGAGTTAGTAATTTGCATTGAGTTTCGATGATATCAACATTGTTTTTTATTAACTTCTACGAAACCCATACTTGTTTACTGAGAAATATGAAATGTCGAAATAAATTTGTCATTTCCAATATACCTCGTCCCTGTGTCTTGAGTAAAATTATCCCAGTAAAACTCTGTGTTTTCATCAACTGTGTTTGCCTAAAGTAGTGTCTTTCTTTCTGAAAAATTGCTTCATGGTAAGAAAGGAAAAGAAAAAAAGGTGAAAAAAAAAAGAAATAGAAATATTAACCAAACGCACTATAATTGGTATTTTCTGGGTGTATAAAAGACATATCCCTGACCTCTTTTTTTATTTGTTTTATGCAACGCTGGACGAAGTTCTTCACTACTAATTTGATTGCCTTAATTGATAGTCCTAATTGGCACTTTAATCTATGTTTTCAATGATTTCCCACCATGTCATCTTGTGTTTTCAACTTAAGTTATTCTAAATCTTTGCTGTTCTGTGTCTGAGATTTATCCTTACATTTGAGTTTTTTGAGCTTGTTTGATAAAATTTTGGTCAAAGGCGTCAAGGACGAGATGAGGAAGAAAATGGACCTAGTAAAGAGCCTGCCATTCTTTCTGTCGAGGTAACAGATGCTATGCCTCTGATTTTTTAAGTTAAGTACCAACTTGAGTTTTTGGTGAAATTATTATCAATATGGATAATTAATAGTTGTTTCTGAACATGTAGGGTAGAGGATTCAACGTGGAAAATTTTTATGTTGAGGAACCTGTTTCAGATTATATCCGAGCTGCGGTTTCAACTGTACTCTCCATTCATGATGAGGTACAACTAAGTCTATAACCATAGGTTACATAAAGTCTTTGTGATGGGTTTTCAATCAACTGATTTATTTTTTTCCATCTCTTTTCTTTGTCTTTCTGATATTCACTGAACTATTAGCAGCTCTTACATTTGACCTTGTCCTTTTTTTTTTGGCACGGTGGTGATGTTTTCATGTCTATTTACATGATTTAACTAACTTTTTTTGTGTAATAAATATTAATTCAACAGAGATCTTTATCTTGTGTCTTTATAGGAGCCAATGGGAGATATTCTTGTACTTCTTACCGGCCAAGATGATATCGATGCAGCGATTCAGATGCTTACAGAAGATTCTCACAGTAGAAAGAAAGGTAGCTTCATTGAGGCCAATAAATTGTTTCTTATCTAGAAGGTTAATTTGAAAAATATTTGTTTCACTTTGTTCTCTTGCAGGATTGCTTATATTGCCTCTGTATTCTGGACTACCTCGTGCAGATCAGGTAATTTATTTTCTTTTTTCAGTTCATCAAGAGAAACAAACAAACCATGTCAACCCCTTGTATTATTCTAAATTTATTGAAACCTGGTGTTTCATTTTCTTCTATCTTGTTTGTAGGATCTTGTATTTTCCCCTACTCCTCGTGGGAAGAGAAAGGTAGTAATATCCACAAATATTGCAGAGACATCATTGACATTGGAGGTAAAAAAA